TTTGATTTAATTTATATTTTACGAATTATTTTTTTTATATTTTTGTTAGGTATGCCTCACTAAGATGTACACACACTCCAAATTTCAGATCATTCTAATTAGTAAAAAAAAAAAAATTAAAACACTACCGAACAATTGTGATCATGCGATGAAGTTGGATGGTGATGAGGGTAGACGAAATCACTGTTCATTCTTGCCCTATAGGCATTTTGTAGTATCTTCCATATATATATATATATAATTTCTTGGTAATGGATAGTGGGGTCTGAAAATCTTGAACTTAGATCCTCAGAAAAGTAATAATACCAGTTGCTCAAGTAAAAACTTCAGCATCCACAAAGCTCATCGTAAACCCCCAAATCTTGCCATCAGAGACGGAAAATCAAAAGAAGCATGAAACCCCACATCACATGGAGAAGGAATTTTGTGTTTCGTAATTATGATAGATATCAAATCTGATGCAAAATCACATGGATAAGATGGAATAATTCAAGCCAACAGTCATTATATTTGATATAAATAACTACAGATCACATAGAATTCCCATTGAAGACTGAAGCAAAATGTCTTCAACAACTGAATGCAGTGGTCATTAACCTGTGATGGTATACACACCAAGAGATGAACTAAAGTTGAAAAATAGTAATGACAGTAAATTCTAAAATAAGACCATAATGAATTTTAGCATAACGAGCCCACAAAACAGAATCCTGATTTTTTCTTTTCAATTTTTTTTTTTCTACAAGTATAAAATGGAATCCTGAGGTTGAGTTTAAAGAAAGACTATAATACAGGTACATGGATAACTAATACTCCTTCTGAATTACTTAACAAAATTGACAATTGCCTTCTTTGGAAATATTTATCATATTTCACGATGATAACAAGTTCAGTTTAGTTGAAAGATAAAGGTTAAGGGTTTGAAAAAATATCATTGTGAAGGGGAACCACATCATGTTTCAGATCTAATTACACCCTTGTTTTTTAGTTGTCAAAACTTATAACCAAGTAGTCCTTCCCCATGAGGCATACATGTTACTAGGTTTAAAGATGAAATAAACAATTATGGTATTTTTGGTTGTCAGCACACCAGGAAAGATCTATCAAATCCATAAACAATGTTTTAAAGTTTAATTACTAACTTGAATGATCCATTTGTGCATACTTTTGTAATGAAATGGTGACAGTCATAGCAGAACTACTGTTTCCAATTGCAAAGGATAATTGTCTTAGCTCTGAGTTAAACATGCTCCACTTCTGTTGTAAAGTGAAACTAGAGCACATTCTCACCGCACCAAGGTGAGACACCAGATGAAGTTTAATAGAACAAGAGACGCTTGTTGCAATAAGGAGCATTAAGAAAGCTAAGGTGCTAGTTGGACAAACCAAATTTTGGAAAGATGGACACCTTTTTTACACCATCCATTTTAAAACAGGAAACAGCCCAACTTGGTCATCTATTCAAGGCTGACAGACTTTTGGAAGTCTACTCATCAAGGAAAAGTCGCCAATACATCCATGGCTCTGCCCCCCCCCAAAATAAATAAATAAATAATGTTTCCCAATTTATAAAGCCACTCCCTTGCTTGTTGCTCGAGTTGCTCAACCATCCAAATAGAGAGTAACTGAAGTCATCCATTCATCAAAAGAACAGTGCCACGAACTGAAAATATAAACAGGTCAAAAGAATGTTTATAGCCATCAAACATTTGATATCTGATACTATCATGTAATTAACATGATGATTGCAGAAGATCATTCTAAGAGGATAAACAAAAAAACAATGAGATAGTCGTGTAGGCATGAAGACATACATCATAGAGGGGTTTAGAGATTTGGAGATCTTGCATTACAATACCATTCGTAGCAGCCATATAGAAAAAGCACATAACACATCAAAATGCAGTTTGGTTTCCCCTTAATAAAAATCTAAGAAACAGGTATTTGCCCATTGTAACAGCTCATAAAGAAATTCCTTAACAAGAATAGAGAGCTAAGCTTAAATATGGTGTCGTGCGATCAAAATGCCCAAGAATAATAATCTTATAGTTCCCTTATACCTTCTTTAAAACCTTGGCATTAACTACTAACAGCCACTATTAACAATAGAAAAACAATTAACAGCCGCTAATTACATCCACAATTATAAATAATGTACATCGCAGAGATGCTTGTAGACACCTAGTTTTGAAATTGGTGAATTTTTCCTTGAATTCTTGAACCCTAGGGTCCACCATAACCTAGTAAACCCTAGTCAACTTTTCAGACCTAAAACCCAAACCTTAGACTTATACAAGCCCTAAATTACTCATCCTAAATAGCCCTGAGCCTTCTGACGCCACGAAACCTGAAACTAACACCCAAAAGTCCTATCCCTCTGAGCCCCTCAACATCCAAATTGGGCCAAATTTGATTCTAAGTTGAAGAAGAGATCAACAACTTTCCAAAATTGCAAGAATCACCTTAATCGGACTTACAGTTTAAAAGTTATGGCTTGGACAAGTTTGTTTGATAGCAATTCTATCCAAGTTCAAACACTGTGAGGTAAGGCATCCAGAAAGCCCTGACGCGCTGCAGGGTTCGGCGTCCAGACTGTTTTGGCCCAGTTTTGTGCCACCTAGATGCTTGGGGGTGCAGTGTTTAGAGCCCAATAGCTCAAAAAGCCACGAGGTCCAGTATCCATCGCCTTTGACCATATTTGACCAATATTTTGTGATAAAAACCTTGGAAGCTTCTAGAAAATGCATTGGGAAGCGTGAGAGTATAAAAAGCTAAAAACGGGGGAAAAGAGAGACTCAAGCCTTCTAAGAACTCTATCCATAAACCTATGCCTAGAGAGAGAAAAACCCTAGAGAGAGAAACCCTAAGCTGGTCTAAACCCTAGGTCATCCATGAAACCCTAATTCCCAATTTCAATCATAAACCCTAATTTGCATTGTTAAACCTAAGCCTTAGGGAGATAGACCTAGGCATTCTTCAAGAAGAAAATAGAACGCGCATGACGTAAACAACCTGTAGTCTGATACAGGCGCCAACTCCAGGTCCTCGAGTGTGCCAGGCTGATCAGCCGAACTAGATAAGTATTTTTTACTTTCTTTAATTTAGTTTTAATTCAGTTTAATTTAGATTTAAATTTCCATTTTAGTTTAATTTAGTTTATTTTTTAGTTTAGGGTTTTCTGGTAGGATTTTTGTGTGATCTAGAGCCGGATCTTTCAGCGGTTCTTACCTTGATCTCTCTAGATCTGAATTCGTTTTGAACCGTAATTTGTCAGGCCCCACTAATTTCTACCAAATTTTTATTTTAACTCGTTTAAATCATAAATTTGGAGGGATTTCATCAAAGATCTCACTAGATTTGGCTGTAAACAATGCTAGAGCTCAATAATTGAACAGATAAGTTCTCTTGTTTTTGTTTTGTTCTTTCATTTTATCCTTGATCGTGGTCATGAGCAACAGCTAGCAAAAAAGAAGTATATTTCGCCCATAAAAAGCTTATAGTACAAAGCATAGTAACCGGGATCTCCCCACTTGGTGACGATCCCGATCCCATACTCCAGGAGCTGGACTTTGGGTGGATCTCGCTCCCATATAGGGGGAACACGAAACCAATCCCTTAGGGATCGTCGATTAAATAACACTCATGTTATATTGATCTTTTATGAGGAAACAAGTCTTCAATGCATCCATTAAATAAACAATAAAAGTAATTATGTAGCAAATTCATGTTCTATTTATTACTCAAAAAGAAAATAGATGTTTCTTTATGACGGTCTTGGACCTTTATAATTTATCATTGGATCCCAAAAAGTAGGGATCCAATTCCCAAACATGTGGGAATCGAGATCCATAAATTTCAGGGCATAGAGACAGCAATCCATAGGGAGCTCCTAGCCTATCACAATCCCAAGCTCCCAACTCCACAGCTGCTCCCAATCCCAACAACTATGGTGCAGAGGAACTCTGAAGCTATTATATTCTACAGGCATTTTTGAAGATAAACTGTAAAGAGTTGAAGATCAGAACGCACCTTATACTCGTAAATAATTCTGGTTTCTCAGGAAACCACTCAGGGATATCACGTACAATGTGCACATCATCCTTCAGATAATCAATGAAATGATTTACATCAAATACATCTTCGAATTTCCTGCTCAAGAGTAAAGCCACAATTAATAAATAGAATAAAAATAGCAAGAAAACTTTTAGTAAATACACTGAGTTGATTTTGGCAATCACACAACAGAAACAAATGAAGGAATTGATTTTGGCAATCACACAACCGAAACAAATGAAGGAACAATACCAAAAGACTATCAAATACAAGACAATGTATATTTTTTTTATTGGATAAGTTAAGATACTGTAAACCTTCTAAAAGTGCAAACGTTCTAAAGAAACCTATCATCTTTATTCCTGGACTCGTAAGAGTGGAGACTAAAGCCATTATGCTGTGGTTGAGACAAAAAGCTCCATACAGCTAACACAGCAGGTCAACAATGTCATGTTCAAGAAGATGACAAAACCATCAACTACAGAACTCACCATTTTCTTTTTGAACAAACATATTAACAAGTAACATATATCACATATGATCATGGAAGGTGATTCAAATCTCACTTTTATTTGGCATAATTTTCGGCCAGGTTTTAAAAACTCTCCAGGGAACTTGGGACTCACCCAATTTCCTCGACTCAAGTAGGTCCTGAGTTTAAACCATAGCAAACTGTTTTTGATGGACTTGGGTTTGTCCACTATAAGTTTGTGTGAGCCTAACATAGGTCTGAGGCAAGTCCCCAGTCTCAGCTGAGCCTCACTTTTTGCTGGCATAAAATCAGGGAAATTCTATGGAACTCTCTTCAGCAATTTTCATTTCACATCGCCATTTGACACCATGGCCAATTGACCCTGAAACTTCTGAATTTTCAGATATATCTTTTCAAGCTTTTCTCCAGAAAGAAAATTACAAAACCTAGATCATGGAGTTTAAATTCATTTCTCGGAGAAATTTAGGCAAGGGACTCAGCAAGCATTTGACCCTCATCTGTGCATGTTTCAAGATGAAAACACACCTGATCTACAGCTTCGTAAATCAACCACTGTTTGAAACCAGTATGCATTTTTGTCCTATTTTGAAGATACTTTCTCACAATATATAGATCAAAATCCTCAACTAAGTGCCATGATCCAAAAAATCTGATATTGAGTGTCCCCAAAAGGTAACTGGCGAAGTAAACACTCATGCCACATTCAGCCTAAGTACTCAGTCAATGGACATGCTTGAGAAGTACTTGTGAGTAATGGTGCCAGAAGGTAGACATTTTTTTAATTTCTTAATATTTACTAAGGGATCACGCTCTAGGACAAGGAACATCACCAAAATTACATGTACCTGTAACTGAGCCCAAGACTCGAATCTGCTGATCATTAGATTGCACTAAAACTTCGCATATGCAAATAAGTGCCATGTAAATTCCCATTAGAACGCATTAAATCATAATAACAAATTATATATGCTAAAAGAACAAAGATATTCATTTCAAGTTTGCAATAAATTACACTGCAAAAAGGAATATGAAAATAGAAGATTAAAAAGCCACATCTCACGTTTGATCTTTCCAAATCTGGTCTTGCTTTAGAATGGGTAGGATTAGTGTAGCATTAATTATTTTAGCAACAGCCACCGCATTAATAATCTGTAAAAGAAAACCCAAGATGTTAGCATGGGATGTATATATAGTCAGGTATCAAAGGTTGCAAGATGTTTGATTGACATTGTGCTATAAATACTTGTAATACTGAAGATATGCCCCAGAAATCCAAATGAACAATATGGTTCACGCAATGGAAATGTGCAAGCCTCTTTTTACTAATAATCACATGAAATACTATATGT